TCTGCTGATGATTCCGATTAAAATGACCCCCCTTTCGGTGGGGGGTCGAGTGTGTACATATTCAGACTTCAACTATGAGAAGTTCTTTTCTATGTTCCGGGCTTTTATAAGTAATATGAAGAATCATGAAGTAGCTCTGCTCTCTGACGATATCAACTGCGTTGTCCTCCCGTTGGGGTAGTTATGAGACTGATAGTCAAATAATATTAATGATAATAACAGAAATAGCGATGATGATTATGATTATGAAACTACTGTCCAGTTTAGACGAGGAAACTGCTTTGGGAGGCAAAGCCAAATGGGCTTCACGGAGATTGGGAAATATTTCTTTATTAATTCTTACATCAACTTCCTATTCAAGATCTACCAGTAGTTTCGAGAGCGGCTTTTTGCAACCCCCCACAAGGCAGGTAAAGGTTAAGAGGAGAGCCTGAAAGCCAATTGACAGATATTCGACAAGTTTTTGCTTCATTCCCCATTTCTACTAATTTGCCTAACTAATTAATCAATTTTATTTGTTTATTTATTCGTATTTCATTTATTTGCCAACTTCGGCGTCGCTTATGCTGCCTCGACGTGTCTTTCACGGTCAGATTCACTCACCCTCCGGCGTGTGTCTACCGCCTCTCATGTCAGTCGCTGTGTGTATGCCGCACGATAGGCCCACTGTGATGATGGTCTAGTCAGTCCTGCAGCTGCCTACCGTCCGCACAGACCTTCCAGGTGCTCTCCAGACCGGCACCAGTTGCGTGTGAAGCCGCACTTAGCGCCGGATACTTCTGTTCTGTCCGAGCGTCTCATTTGCCTCTACCAGTCGGTCATCATGTTCCAAGTCTTGGGGATCGTAGCCATCGTCGTGTTCTATGTGCTCATTCTGGTGGTCGGATTGTGGGCCGCGAAGCGCTCCAAAAAGACGGAGGGCATGTCGGAGAGTGAAGACGTCATGCTGGCCGGCAGGAACATCGGACTCATTGTCGGCATCTTCACAATGACCGGCAAGTCCTCGCTGTTTCTTAATTATTCTCTTCTGGCGGCAGTACTCACTACGAGCATAAGTAGTATCGTCAGCACTGCCACGTTAGAAAGTGTGGCCTGCGAGGGACTCGACTAGCCTTGAAAGCCGCATCTCTTCTGTGTGTCAATCAGTGGCAGTTGCGGCGGCGTGTGTTTCGAGGGGGTAACGGGACGCTACTTTACTCGAAAGACCCGGCACGACTAAGAAAGAGTAAATGGTATCGTCAAGTCCTCCAGTCCTCATGATCAGCAGAACTCACACTTGCT